GATTCGTTGCGTACAATTCCCTACAGCTTTGGACAGCTACCAAAATTTTCAGGCAACCGAATTTATAACTTGTATCGCCGCGAAATACTCGTATCTCTATAATTCCAACACATTTACCACAGAGAATGGACAGTGGATATTAATTTTATTCGGCTAATGGAGCATAAAAAGCGCAGAAGCGTAAAGGTAAAGAGGGAAAATCTATGCGATAGTTGCATAATTCAATCCGTGTCATTTCTCTTCCTCCTTCTTCCCCTTCGTTCTTCGTTCCGTGTGTCGGCGCCGAATGTTTGGCGCTTTCACGATAGGGTTCAGTGGCCAGTAAACGTCTAGCCGGGTTTTGTGTACGATCGGCTATCACGAGATAATGTATAATTTATAAACAGTTCGATCTGCCGGGGAACAGTGCGCCAGCAAACATTCTTGTTGGCTTACTCAGGGCTCTCTGCTCGACGACAACGACCGTTCCGTGCTTCTCCACCCTTTGATTAACCCTCGCCTCGCGTTGCGTCGTTCCGAGAAACGTTTACCCCTGTAACCGTAACAGAGAGACAGAGAGAGAGTATCGGCAGCAATAGTAAAATCTTCGAAATTGCAACCTACTCTCTTTTCCTTCTTTCTTTACCCTCTCGTCTTTTAGAAACTCTGCGGTTCTAAACCTGTTAAACAAATAATTCGAACATTTGCAAATCGTTGCGTTGCGCTGTAATACACGTCCGATCCAATTACCCGTCGCGTGGATAAAATGGAAATCCGTAGGAGAGCGGGGTGTGACGGTGTAACGCGATTTTTGCCGTAACACCGTGGTCCCCATGGCCGTTTAATCTATCTCTGGCCCGTAAACGTCGTGCATTTTGATGTTAGGGCCCGGTGGCCTGCGGACGTCTAGTTGGATTTCGGTGTGTACACACGGGGCTAGCACGAGATAATGTATAATTTATAATCAGACCGTTTCTCTGGCAACAGTGCGCCACTGCACGGACTGAATCTTCCGCCCCAAAAGCCGCCAACCCCTCATTAGCATTCGATGATGGCTGCCGCGTCCTGCAGCGTCCGTATTATCCCATTTCATCGTTCCTGCCTCCCCTACCTGGGCTTCTGCTCGTTTCCACCCGCCTTCTCTCGCTTCCCACCCATTTCGTCTTCCGTCTCGCTCTCGCCTCTCTATTTTACACCTATCCCGCCTCTCTCTTTCTCTGCCTGACGCTGTGCCATTGGGCCCAGCCAGGTAGCAGATGTGTCTGACCAAAAAAAAAAAAGAACGAAGAAATTTCACATGGAGAAAAATTACTTCGTTTCTCCTCTTTTTTCCGGAGAAAGGAGTGTTTTTCACGGAGTTATACATGTATTCGTGAAAATTTGTCTACGTTATATTTCGCAGGACATTTATCTCCGTTCCAAAGGTTTCTTAATTTCGAAATTTTCGAGTCCCTTTCTGCGTTACCCCCTTCCTTTATCGCCGTAACGAGGTGAAGAAAAGCCGGCGTGAAGGGTGTGCAAGAGACTCGAAAGTGAGCGGAGGTTAGGGGGTAATCTACGGAAGGTGGCTGCGTCGTTCAAGGTCTCCGACGGGAAGCCCCGCTTCCGGAGGCCGGTAGAAGTCGAGAGCCAGGTCAGAATCGTGTTGTCACTGAGATTATTGAAACTGCAGTTTTATGGGCCTTAAAAGCAGTTTAATTGCTGTTATATAAGTGTTTATGCTCTGCCAGGTTTGGCCTCCGCCTGCGCCACCCCAAACGTTTATTTTATGGTCATACGACGACGACTACGACGACGTCGGCAATGGCGTACCCCGTTTTGTCGCGTGCCG